TTTGGGTTTATTTCTCATTGCTCTACTCTGTGTTCTTGGTAATAAATTAGATTAGTTTTTTCTAAGTTGAATCTGTTTCACCCATGATGGTAAGTGGTGAACAATCTCTCCCTGTCCTTATCTCAGCCCCTGAGCCTTTTGTTGTTTTTTCTCTCCCCTGTCCAGTTGAGAAGGGCAGTGACAGAGTGGCTTTGGTGGGCACCTGGCCTCCAGCCAGGGTCAACCCACCACACAGGGAAACATGGCCACATGCAGTATTATCTTCTCCCCAAGCTCAGTGTTAGGAGCACAAAATCATTATCTGGCTCAGCTATTTGCCTTCACAAAAGCCTGCAGCAAAAATAGCAGTGGTTTAATTGGGAAGCTTAAGTCCTACCTCCTTTTCTAACATTGGCTCCTAGCACAAGGAGCCAAGACTCTACCAACCAGCCCAATTAATATTCTCCTGCAGAGCTCACAGGCATTGAACTGACAATTCTCCCCTTAAAAAGCCACACAACACCCCCAAAACTTTATTCTGATTCTCTTTAGCATGTAATACTTTTCAGCGTCTCAACAAGAACACACAAAAATAAACTGAGCTCCGTAAACATCAGAGATTGACACTAATGCTTTGAAGCCTTATCCTTGTTGTTCCTGGGTGGTGTCCAGAAAAGTGCAAATAGCTGCAGGGACTGCACACTATCACCCTCCTTTTATACAGAGAGCAGAATTAGTTGGCGAGTCGCTGCTCTAAAAGCAAAGCAGCACTTTTTTTCTTCCCCCACCCAGTAGATTTGGGTGGGGAAATAAACTAGAAACCAAACACAAACAAACAAAGCATGTATCTATCTTATTTTTCAATAAACGAACTCGCCCAGGTATTCCCCAAGCTTTGAAGGTGTTTAGCTCTCTGCTGGGAGCACTCACCGCTTGGAAGTTCCACGCTTGTTATCCTCGAAGGAGGAGACGAGCCTGCATGGTTTTTGGCTACAACACTAATTACACAGTCATTTTTTCCAAGTTTTATCTCAGTACTGTTTGAGGGTTCGGTGACTTCTTTGGACTCCAGTGCTGTCTCTAGCAGGTAGCAAGACACTTCATGAGACACTATTCTTCCATTGGCTTCAGAAAGGGATAAAGGCTATGAACAGACAAAGAGTTAACCCAAAATGGAATAAACAAAACCAGACATAGGATAATATGAATTTAATGTCCTGATCTAGTCTGATGACTGTATAGAACTACAAGGTAGAAAAGATAGTTACTGTAGTGTGACTTTAGGAATTAACACATAAGTTTGTAAGTTTTTGATTTTCAGCTGGGATGTATTAAAAATTTAATTCTTCATGTGAAATGCTTCTCAATGCAATGTTTAAATTATAAAACTTTAATAATATTATCATTTGAGGAAGAATGCTTGTCTCAATGGACAGTTCATTAAAAAAAGCAGTCCGATTTGTTGACTATAAACTTCACTCATTTATACTTTACATCATATTTTAAAACTAAGTGTCCTATCTACCTTCCAGAAGATTTTTAGACTTTTTCCAGAAGGACTTCTCTCTCTCCAGATATCTGGACCTCTTGCAGGAGCTAAAAAAAAAACAAAACAAAACAGGTTTTGGTTTTGTTTTTTTCAAGTTGCACAGTAGACAACTTAAATTTCTATTAAAATGTTAGGTTTTTAGATGGTTAATTTAAGATATACGGCTTCACAAGTTCACCATTTTATCCACAAAGAATTAAATAAACTTACGGGCTTCCAACGTTGTGTGCTCTTCTATCCTGCTCCAGTCACTCCACCTCCAGAAGTGGTCAGCAGCTGAACAGCGCACCCTGAACTGGTATTTGGTATAAGGGTGCAATGTGTTCAGCTGAGCTGTGTAAGTGGAGAATTTTCCTCCAGGCATGGAAACATTGTGCTGTTAAAAATATGCAGAAATTGACATGATACATGTATATTTTTTTGCTCCTAGATTATGCTGAAAGTCAACACCAAAAAAGGTACTATTTTTCCCCAAGATTACCGACAGTGTGAAAAAAGGCTGCAGTGAAGTCCTACGAAGAAATTAATGAAAAAACATGAAGAAATTAATGAAAAAAAATGAAGAAATTAATGAAAAAGAAAAATATTTTCTATGTAGTCACCCTAAACAAAAGAAATTTTTTCAGAGGTCTGCCAAAATAAAGTCATATATAGCACAGAAATTGAAATATGAGAGTAGGGAGCACCTTTGAGATGTAAAGCATGGAAAGGAGAGAGAGCACTGACGAGCCTTCAACAGGATGAGCTCAGCACACAGTAGCAGGATGTTGCTTCCCATCTTTCCCGACCAGCCCCCCTCTCTCTCATACGCAGCAAAACTTCTGCTCGCATGAGGCAGGCCAGGATTTCACCTCTGCTATTCAGAACCTGCACTTCCACCGTGCAGTGCACATCAAACTGGGTGGACAGAGGGCTTTTTGCTAAGACACATGCACAGAAGCACACTAAAGACAGACTGTCTGAGCAAGATGTTTATCATGCAGTCTTCTTCCTAGGCAGTCCTTTTTCCTTCAAAAGATAGTATCGAGGTCTTACCCAGGTGGTCTATGTTCACAGCTCTTATGACAGGACTAGTCTCTCCCATTATTCTTGAAATGGTGGGAGTCTAGGGAGTATTTCAGTTTCATGATTACTTAAAGAAACCCTAAGCCTGGGAATATTTTTTACTGAATCTAATTATAACACATGTGCATCACAGCTGCCAAAAACTGGACTCCAAGTGACTTTAAGAAGCAACTAATTGTGCATTTCTAAAGCCAAATGACAACTTGAAAAATATAAAAAAAGCCAACAATCTCTCATACGAATGGAGAAGCTTCTGAAAACATCCTCAAAATGCCATAGAAAACCCCATAACAATTTCACAGCTACTTTTGTTTATTACAGAGAACTCTTGGAGGTTTTTTTTATTAAGCAACCAGAGACAACATAACAAGGCTGTAAATCCTTCTACCAAGCTGTTTGCTGTGCTTCAAAATATCTGTAGCTGCGGGCTCAGATACAGGCACAGTGACTTGAACTGCTGTAACAGTGTAAGACCTTACCATCTCCCACTGCCCCAGATGACTGACCTGGCAGCAGAGTTCACAAGCAGGTGTGTGCCCCAGGCTTTGAGTAGCGTAACTCTGGTTAGATCGAACTGTGCAAACCTACTTTTTTAGCAGTTTAAGCTAACTGAGCTGCAGGTGGGTGGCACTCTGGGTGCTCGTTTCCCCTGCCGACTGCTCCAGAAGCAGTAAATGTTGGCAGCAGAAAAATGCAGACAACTGTGGGTGATGGTATCTCAGACTATGCACCAAAATCCAAGACAGCTTGTCTCTCAGAGCTGTTATGTACATCTAAAAGCCAGTTTCTTCCCCTGTTAATGCCAAAGATATCTATGATTTTCTTTGCAGTACCTAATCTCTAGGTACCACTTAACATGTCATTACAGAGGAAATATAAAAGCATAAGGCTTCCACACTCATTAAGTGCTTTGCAAGTATTTTAAACATACTCTTACAGAGCATGTATTAACTACTACCCTATCATTTTAGAAGCAATGTACATAATAATAATCTTCAGTCTTAGCTGCATCACTTCTGTAGCTTGAGTGACTTTATTCAAGGCTGTATCCAACAGCTGTGCCCAACAGGTAACTAAATGCAGTGGATAATAGAATACTGCTAAAAAATCAAACAAAAATTGTAAAAAAAGCAGCCTCTGAGGTTGATGTGCTCACATTACAATTCAGGTTCTGCGTACTGAGACCTAATAATTCAGCATGTGCCTCCCCAAGCTGGTCAGAGATACTCCATCTGAACACATAAACACAGAATTTGGGGGTAAATCTCAGGCCAACTGAACATGCGGTTCTGCCATTAGGCTTCCCCCGTGACACAGATCACCCCACACTAAGGCAATACAGAAGAAGAGGATATATTCCCACCACCTACACTCGGTATCTGATGCTGGTGTCTGCATTAGTGTCCTAAGCTCCTCTGACAGTCAGCAGAGTAAATATGCAGTTCCAGTCAGTGACGCAGAGCATCAAAGCTGGGCAGCCGCTGGAAGCCCGAATGCTGGAAAATCCAAACCCCACCCAGAAATACCACCTTCTTTCCAGCTGCAGAGCTCTTCACTGGGGATTACCTACTGATATGCCCAGTGGCAGAATCCTTCCCCATCCTGTCGCTACATCACTGACATACAAGCAGGTTTAGCAGCTCCCTATTATAGCCACATGCACGTCAATCGCTGCCAGCAAGCAAATGAAGTGTTCTTTGAGGGGTGGGGGGAAAGAAAAAAAAGAAATTAAACTACAGACTGCAAGAGGCAATCCAAAGCAATCACTGTGGAAGTCTGCAGGGCAGCGCACATCCTGGAACAAGCATGTGTTAATACCGTTTGCACCAGGAAGGACAAAGCACAAGGACTGTTACCTAAAGCGTCAGCATAAAGCACTATGCACCCTCTCCAAGTACCAAAGAATATGGTGGATAATTTGACTTTCCTCTAAATTGTTTAAAACTAACGGAAAAAAAAGCAGGCAACAACAGAGATCAGCAGAATTTTTTCTGATTTTAGTAGAACTTCTAGTCATCACTAAATTAATCATTTAATAAGATGATCAGAATGATGCTTTTAGAGAGAAAAGAATTTGAAATGTGATTAGTTCAGTGAAAAAAAATCCGTTAAAAGCAATACTTACCAATTTTCGCTCAGAGTGACCACTGCTAATTTCAATTTGACACAGAAGTCTGATCTCAGCAAAGCTGCCATTAATAAACCAACGCAGATGGACGCTTGTAGAGCTGTTCCCAGAAACAGTTAACTTTTCTGGAGCTTTTGGATCAACTTAAAAAACAAAGTAAAAACCCTCAGTTCTAAGCAAACCCCATTCATTTTAATTCAGAAAAATACAATTTTAAAAGATCAAAGAGAATAAGTGATCCCATCAGCAACTAGGACAGCTGGTGCTGGGAAGGCACCCGCAAGCAGTCTCATTCCTGATGCTGTTCTCAGCTATCAAACATGGAAACAGATTTGCTTAAGGCTGAGCGTACTGTCATGTGGGATAAGGAGTTGGAGACACAGAAAAACATTTCCCCTCCCACTGACTTTATCAAAAAAGCGAAACACGAGCTATTTCAGAGGATCACAGTGGCAGATGAAATTCACTCAACTTCATTCACCTTCTGGGAACTTTTTAAGTTAGAACTTAAAATCTGCAGACTAGGACAGGGTAGGACTCCTAAATGATCTCTCCCTCCCCAAAACTCCCTTCACGGAATTTTTCAGTAATATTCAGTACTACTGTTCATAGCTATCAGAGAAAAAAAATCTCTACTGTTGGAATTGGTCCAGTTGCCCTTAAGGAAATATGCACTCTATGTTGGCAATTAAGTGGACAGTGAAGGAAAGAAAGGAAAGGAAACAAATAGGAAATAGCAGTCATATCAACTGGGTACAAAATGGCCCAGTTTATAATTAACAGATACAAATTATGGTTTTCTAGGACCTGCCAATTTACTCTGACAGTTCTAATCTCAGGCTAGTTGAACTGGGACATGGACAAAAAAAACCCTTCACCAACTTCATATTTAAATTCAGTTTTTCAGAGAGAACAGCAGAATGCTGTAATCATAAGGAACCCCTGAATCCTCAGCTGTGGTTTTGGAGGCAGATGGAAAATGACAGGCAAGACAGCACTAGAAAGGTGGTTATCTTCCCCCTTTCCTTGTTTAAACTGAAGGTCTAGTGAAGGAAGATAGTTCTTTCTACAAACCACAACAGCAGATGATCATGGCTATTACCAATAGCAGGTAATACTCCTGCTATTACCTTCCACCTTTTAGTGCTACTTTTTTAGGCTCCATATCCTGCTGTTGTAAAAGTGCATTATATTTTGCCCTACAAGCAGACACTGAAATACAGGGTCACTTACAGTTCATAAAGTTACAACTAAATTTTAATTATTGATGTGTAATAGAACATGAAGTAATACATAAACAGCAGTTGGCTAATTATTAGATTGCAAGTAGCATTTATCCACGCAGCAGTGTATCCAATCTAGTAGCATTGCTGTCAAGAACTGGCATCTGCCTGTACGACTAATTGTTGCCTCAGGACATGTCCTACGTTATTTTCGGCAAAATACTGGTGACAATAAAGCAAAATAATGACAAGTATACCATGTCAGAGTTCTTCAAACCCAAACCAAACAAATGGTTAGCATGCAGTAAACGTATCTTTTTGCCTTGTAATTCTTAAGTCTTACCTCTTTGAGTTAAATCAACCAAAAGCGATGACTCTGTTTGCCCGATAGGATTGGAGACGCCTAATATGAAATCGTAGGTTTTTTGATCAGCCAGTACTGGAAAGTCACAGGCACGCTCTCTGTGCATTTCATTGACTTCGCATGAAACATTTTTACCAGATATTCTACCAAGTAAAAAGAAGGGGGAACAACTTAATTTTTGAGTAAAATAATTTCTATCAACAGACAGAAGTCTAGACTGAAAACACATTAAAGAATGATGGGTCCACTGACACACGGCTTACAGAATGATTTGATTGCAGAGGCATATCTAACACCACAACGCAGGTTAAAGTGGCATCAGTCATGACTTGCCCTGTTCTCACGTGAAACTCTCCTCTTCCACTAGCATAACATTTCCATCCTCTCACTTCTCAAAACCCTGGAAAACAGGTAGGTCCTGTAAAACCACCTCACAAGTCACAACTAAGATTCTGATTTAAAGTATCGTTGTTCAGATCAGCATACATTTGCATTTAAAGAATGTTCTTAATTGCTTTCTGAACTAAGGATATGTGACACACAAACGTGTGTGTCTTTCTATCAGCCCTGCCAATCTAAACTAAGGTTTGTTACCTGGGATACATCCACTAGTCCCAGCTGTTTGTAAATCAAAAGCAAGAGAGGCAGTCTGGTAACAGCCAAGACCAGAGTTACATCCTCAGGGGTAAAATCTAAAGTATGTATCTCTATGTATGTACATATATAGAAGTTGCTTTAATTACAGTTTGTGTAAACCTCTCACTGAGTAGCACAAGTTTAATTTCTTCCTTTGGGCTTTTTTATTGTGTTCCAGCTAAGCTCTGAGCTCTCTCCACATCATAGTCTCTATTTCAATAGCTCAGTGTGGGCTGAGAACAAGGATGAGAATATTTAGCATGAACTGCATCACATTAATCTTCTCGTAGCTTTGGGCTGAGTAAAACAAGTCTGAACTATATCCTCATTTATGAGCTGGATATGGGCAGCCAGTGACTGCAGCTCCTTTCCTTTGAATACCTGCTCTGTTTGTCCACCTCTTTGCACCCTACCCAATGGCTTTTTTAGCACTAGCACCCTGGATGACATCTGTGACCATAACTAAATCCTCATTGCCTCTGACTTGCTTCAAAGCCACCATGAGACTCCATTTCCCATCGGTTTGTGTGACTCAGGTCTCTCCTGGCTTTTCCCTGACTGCTCCTTTGGCATTACGGGGGAGCCTCCTCGCCACAGGAAGTTTGTTAACTCCTCACTAAGTTCTAATCACAACCACCAAGGAATCCCATTTGCAAGCGCTATTCCAAAACAATGATTCTTCACTTTTAAGGCTTTACATGGCCTGTCATGTATGACAAACTAGTGGGATACCAGTCTTTACTTCTTTCTGTGGATGATGCCAGTGTTATTTGTCCCTTTCAATGTTTTCCAGGTAGCATGCACTTTGCCTGCTCTACACTATCTAGCTCTTAATGGTGGGAGGAGAACTGGCATAGGCTTATTGCTATTTTCACTAGTAGCATTTGGGAAATGCCCCATGGCCTGTCTTACAATTGTTCCTCAGTGAGTTTCTGTCATCCTGCATAGCAGAAGCTCAGTAAATGTCCAAGGGATGTTCTGACACAGGTTGCATATAAAAAAAATAAATTAAAAATTAGTGAATGACTCCCACTATCTCCCTGTATTTTCATATTGGTCTTATCTACATGTTGGCAGTAGCCTGACACACTACGTAAGTGCTTTATTTTCTCATGAGTTCATAATGGCCTAAGTCTTTGGAAAAAGCCATCCTTAATTCCCACTGCAATTTTTAAAGCTGGACAAGGGTTCTCCAAGTTTAGTTTAGTTTCAACTACCACAAACTCTTGAAAAGTATTTTAGGCTCTAAACAATGGAGACTCTCATTTAAATAGGCATGGTGCCTTAAGTCACAGGCAGCAATGGATATATTCCAGTTCCACCATTTTTTCTCCTTTTAGTGCTGAATTATTTTACCTTTCAAATAAACTGTACTTTGTTTTTCGTTCTCCATATAGTCCACTGGGTCTGCCTGGTTTCCAGGTGCATTTTATTATCAGGAAGTTGGATGTTTCACAGCTGAGGTTTTGGGGAATATCAGGGGCATCTGTAGCATGAAAGGAAACCAAAACAGTTAGCCGACGTTTTGCTATCCTTATGTGACAGTTGGGACACGAGCTTCCTGAAAGCATCACCATTCATTTTTGCTGGGTCTAAATTGCGTGCCTCACACATACATGGCAATAGTTTTGCTCCAACCATATAAATAATATGCTTTAAAAAAATGCCAATAAAACAGATGGATAATTATTATCAGCCCCATCTGACTAACACTTGACTCTAGGCTTCTAAGTGGGTGGGTAATCTGGTAAATCACATGCAAATATGTTCACAAGCTCCAGGCTCTGACCTGGAAGTGTTTCACTGAAACTCTGCCAAGAGTTTTTCAAAATCCTGAGCATCAGTTTAGCTGCTGAGCAATGCAGGAACGCTGTCGGCTGTGCGTCACATCTTCTTACATGTCAGCCCCTCCACTGCTTTGAATTATCCAAGCAAGTCATGTCAAGGAGCTGTTCCCTTTAGAATGAATTCCACACTGAATCTGAAAGCTAAAACAAGCCCTGAATGGCTTGTCCTCTTTACCATTGCTTTGGAAGCACCCATCTTTTTCTTTTAAACCTTGTTTTTTGCTCCCATACTAGAGCAGTGTTGAATGCCTTCCTGGACAAGATGGGCAGTGCTGCCAACAGAGAGGGTAACCATGCTAAGGTGAGACTAAGTAGAACACTTATGTCAAGTCTCACACACTTTTCTCCAGAAGGTAGCACAATAATATCCACGTAGCTGCCTTAGAGAAGGGGCACTAATACAACAGGCAACAGTGGCAGGATTAGATCTAGTGATAAGCAGCAGGCCAAAAAGAACACTTATTTTGCCAGACCTAAGCTTAGCCAAGGTGGTATGCATACACAATTACTTGGTCTACCTTTTCTTCCCCAAATATCTCTTATCATCAAAAGCATCATGAGAAGTCCTCTCCCTTCCCACTAAGTAGGTACCACAAGAAGAAACACTGGCAGGAAACAGACTTCACCACATTCCAGCTCATCAAAAACCACTGTGTGGGAAATACCTGTGGGATTATCACAGTGTTCGTTCATGAACCACTGACTTATTTACATGGAAGATTCTCCCACAAAAGCAAATACTGCAGAAATAATGTAAAAATGGCATTTCCTTGAGAAGTCACAACAGTTGGGATTCTGTTTTGCATTTGCTATCACACACTTAATACACAAAGTCAATGACAGGAGACACAGGCTGGAGTTGGGAACACAATTTCAAACTGAGTCTAGTCTCTCAACCCCAAGGACCCTAAGTTCAAAGGCAGGCATTTGTAATGGGAACAGGCAGCTACTGGAAGATGGTAACTTTCAAAACCCCTGTGGGGAAATCACACAAATCTCTGAAGTGACGAATTATGGGAAAGAAGAACCAGGTACTTTTAGTAGCTTGTTTTAAGAGGTATCTGTATCTGGAAGAGATTTCTCAGGCTGGCATGGTTATATAAGAAGATACACAGTGATTCAGTATCTTTAAAGAAAATACTAAAAGAATGTTTATAACATTTTCCAGGAAAGAGGAACCGTCAGCTAGGTTTCTTTGCTGTAATAAGCTCCCAGGGAGCTACTACCCTAGATGAGCATCTGTTGTTGTTGCAAGTCTAACTGTTTTATTGTCTTCATTTGACTGGTTGGTAAATTAACGCTTTCACTTACAATTCTTGCTCTTACTCTTGCCTTGTCATGGGCCAAACTAGAACAGATGTAAACCTAAAGTGGTAGAGACTGAGGATGAATCTTCATATGGCAATAAACTACTAAGTATTCCAGACAACGAAGAAGTGCCTTAGAAAAAGAGATCTCATCCTCACAGCCTTGCTGTCTTCTCCATGGGCTGGAGTTTCCACAGTGAAATCAAACAAGTACAATGCTCGTTCATCCTCGGAAACCAAAATCCAGGGGAAAAAAAGCCACAATAGTATTTGCTTCCTAGCAGAACCCTAAGAGTCTCAAAATTATTTTGATTTTCCTAAGGTAAGTAAACATAATGATACGTACATCCTACAAACAAGACAGTTCCATCCATATCACCTTCGGACAGTTCGCACACTACATTTGTCCCACTGGCATGTGAAGCACTGGCATTTAGCACTCTGATTGCACTGCTCCGACTGCTCAGATGTATCATTGGGTATATTTCTCGTTCATACTTCATCTGTTTTATCTGCCGTCCTTCTTGATGGACACAACAAATTGTCACATCTGAACCTACTGCCACCACGGTGTCCTGAGGAAACACCCCACTCACATTGGGCTCGGTATCTTTTCCTAGCAGAGATGGAAGAGTAGAAAACAAAAATAAACAAAAAAACCGCACATGAACAATTTGCTATAAACATGGTGCTGATAAGCTAAAATGTGACTTAGGGAGCACTTCAATGCATACAAATCAATGTTTACTAGGTTTCATTAACTAATGATTTCTCTCATGAAAACACACCCAAAAGCAGCAGCCCATCACTGCCAAATGCTCTTCCTCTGATTTTGGCTTACTTTTCATAATGCGATCAAAGTCCATGTAGTGGCAAGGGAACAAACATACCAGGGACCTCTTCTACTGGGCTCCAGTCACTCCAGTCCTTGGGGCCAACAAACTGTGTTACATTAATATAACAGCGAATCTTCACATAATGTGATGTACATTCCAAAGGCATATCTGATGTCCAGTTCCAAGAAAGAATGATGTCTTCATGAGTCAGTTTTGAATAGTAAGTTACCTACAAAGTTTAAAAAAAAAAACAAAACAAAAAACAACCAAGGAAGAGTTTATGAACACCTGTTAGCAATGACTTATAACCTCCCAGGTGTCAACAGAATGGCAAATTAAGTGGAGCAAATCACAAAATCCTGATAGATGGTTGGAGTGTCCCACTTAACTTTCAGTTGTGTTGTGAATTTACTTGGACAAAAGCCTAAGATGCTAAACAGCCCACCAGCCAGGTAGACTGCCAGCCAGAAATAGCAGAGGGCAGACATTTGAGGGAGAACAGGAAGCTTGTCAAGCATTTCAAAACGTATATATTGCATCCCAGTATCCTAGGCCTCTCCCAGACAGGGAAATGTTCCAAATTTTCAAAAATGAAAGTCTTCTAATATTAGTCCCAGGCCGCACATCTTATCTTTTCTTTCATTCCTAAAAATTACAGAACAGAGCTATAAGTTGGCCTGGAATAACCGGTTGCAAGAAAAAAAGCAAACTGAACATTTAAAGACCACCAAGACTTCAGACACTATTGGAGAAGTAAAGCAGAGATAATAGTGTAAAATATCTGCCAAATTCATAGGCAAGTTCTAACTAAAAAACCCTGTACTAGATTAAAAAAAAAAAATCTTGGACTTTGAATACGTACTGACAGTATAGTAGTCAGTGTCCTCATAACTTTAAAACTTAACAAGAAGTTACCTACCAGAAGCATGACTACACTCAGGTTCTGCAAAGCTCTACAACCTTCATTATTGTCAGCTTTCTTCAAACGACCTCCCAGAATATTACCGAGGGTAAAAATTGTACATATATTTTTCATAAAGGAAGTAAAGGACTTACTTGTGTGACTTTTTCCATTACTTCTTTACGGAGTATCTGAATCTGCCAAAAGGCATCCAGTCCGTATGGGAAGACTGATCCATTATCAATCCACTTCAGATTTAATGTGGAAGTTGAAAAGTCAGGTGTTAAACTAAGAATACGTGGAGTAAGAGGAACAAATGCTTGAAAAACAGAGAGAGAAAAAAGCCATATTCAAGTCATTAGTCAGCAACAGCACCCCTACAGGTGTTTAACAGCCACATCTCTCTTCTCTCAACTGGCCAGTAGCCATACAAACACGTAACTCAACCTCTGTAATTAGAACAAGATGGGCCCTGTCATTACTTGAGCATGAAAGTTCCCAGGAAAGCACAGGTGCTGATGAGTCACTAGGTAGCATTTTCTTCTAACACCTCAACGTGCAGATGTGTGAGTAACTGATCACGAGTCTTCATACTGCATAGTAAGGAAGATATCATATCTTTCACAACCTTCATTCAACGCCACAGAGATAAAGGAAACATGGTGATAGTCTTTGAAGTGTACAGGAGAACACATCTATGGAGGATGATGGAGAATACATCTAGGGAGGATGATGGAGAATCGCCCAAAAGCAGAAGCGGGTTTTGGAGACCAGCAGGGAAGAGGGGACTTGCGACAAAAGCTAGAGTACGGACAAAGGAGAGCAGAAGCACAGGGTGGAAAAAGCTCACATGAGGCTCTGAAAAGGATAAGGGGGAATATGATTTTAAGCTACAAGAAATATTAAAGGCATGACATGGTGATGGGGACAGGACAGAGAGATTAAACAGAAGCATCTCTTCTACAAATGGGTGCTGGTGAAGCAAGAGGCTGAGAAGCAGGCAAGGGTTATAGCAGTTCAAGCGTTATGACAGTTCACTGGGCCTGGTGCAGGATAAATCTTGTTTTTAAATTGCATGATTTATCCAACTTCGGTCCTGGCCAAGGCTCTGAGAGCCTGCAAAGTGTTCAGCACAGTCAACACACTACCTGGGATAACCTGATAGACTCATCCTGCCTGGAGTCAGCAAGATCCTGCAGAATGCAGTGCGTTGACCAATATTTTTGAGTTGTGTTTTATTAAAGTCCTTGAGCTGCTCTCAGCTGAAAAGAAAACTGAGACGTGGATAAGAAGTGCTACTGACTTTAGATTTTGACTGCATTAAAAGATTAAAGAGGCAAACTAAGCCTAAAGACTAAATTATAAGGAAGTGTGGAAGATGGTGTCAATGCCATCTTCAGCTTACAACTTCCTCCTTTAGGAGGAAGGAGGTGGGAAAAAGTCTACCTTATCTATGACTCCAATATGACGCAGCCTACCTCCCAAGCGTACATGTATTTTCTCAGTTTCATCTACATTTGAACAGAATGGGTAAGTTGGGCATATATTAAGAAAGTATGATCCTGTCAGGAGTGACATATAACTGCCCTTAAAATGTTGTGAAATTGCAGGAATAAACTACTTAATTCCATAGCAGGGAGAACAGGCACTAGGAAGTTTATTGTCCCATTCCCCAGTCAAGTCTGAGCAAATGCACTTTATGCTCCATGCAGGTACTTCAATATGTAGATTAGGAACTTGTTTACAAACCCTTCCTAATTTGCAATTAGGAAAAAAAAAAAGGCAAAGAGTGATTAGGGGGATGTAAGTGGTGTACTTAGTTTTTCTCCTCACATTCTGCCCTTGATTTCTCTGCTATGATCTGTGGATAAGAGGGGGTTTTCTTTCCCATGAAGAGGGAAAGAAAACAACCTGTTATATATGGTAATTTATATGGACTCAGCACATCAACATTTTACATACACAAACACTGTCAAAGAAAACTGCAAGCATATACATTTCTGAAGCATTGTTAATCCTGGCATAAATGCCTTATGTACACACATAAAACCTGATACTTACAGATGTCTGTCTTGTGAATTTCAAATTCTTTGGTAGCGAAAGCAGTTCCAGAAATGCTGTTTGTGGTTATTGTCACTGTCGCAGAGCTCTCTGGGACTGGAATCTCAACCCTTTTCTCCTTAGTTTTAAGACACACTGCAGGGAGGAGGTCACTGAAAAGACAGAGAGGATTAAGCAGGTATTTCAGCTGATAGGAAGCTAAGGCAAGTTAAGTCATATTCCTAGGACACTAATAAAACACAAATTCTCTGTAATATAACAAGAGAGCTCCACATCAGGTCTCTGAAGGAGTAAGACTTGTATGGGCTTTGATTAGTATCAGATTAACAGGCACTCCCTGTGTACTAGCTGCATACTGCAGCTACCTAGCTGTTAAGAGAACACCTCAAAGTGAAAAACTGACTTTTTAACCAAAAGACACATTTCTGATACCTACAGCCACCATGAATCAATAGTTCAAAATAAAATCCTCCAAAACCCAATAGTACCTCCCCCTCCCTTTATGATTCCTGACTCCCTTTCTCTCCATTTCTTCTAAGTAATGGCATATGGGTGCAAAAAGCAGCTTCACCCATCTGTGTCCCCATCTCAGAACAAATATTTTAGCTCCCTTCTGCTGCTCAGCTCATAGGGAAAAAGCAGAGGGCAGGGGAGAGAACTGCTAAAATCCCAGATGGAAATACAGTCTGCACATAATGTTTGTGCAGTGCTCAGCACAACGTGATCTGCACTTTGTCTGGAAGTCATAGATACATACAGGAAACAATAATAGATGGGTTAAGTCCCTTTGCTCATGATCATTGATATACAAGTAGAAAGGCAAAAAGTTTGGAAAAATCCCTATCTTCCTCTTGGGGGAACGATGGGAGGAAGGAACGCAAAGAGAACAATGCCAGACTTCCTGC